AAATAGCACAAAAAACAAGGAACTTTTTACAGGTGAGAATGAGGAAGTAGTTTGAACTACTAAAAAACAGATTTAGTCCAATGTGGTAGTGCAAGCCTGTAACCCCCACTACTCAGGAGGCTGAGGCAGAAGGATTACAAATTCAAGGCCAGCCTGGACAAGTAGTGAGATGCTGACTCTAAACTAAAATAAAAAGGGACCGAGGATATACCTCAATGGTAGACCAGGTCCTAGCATGCCGGAGGCCCTGGGTTCAATCCAGTACTATAGCAGCCCCATTCCCCCAACATAAAGGTGACTTGAAAAGCCTAGTGACCCGTACTGGGGGATGTAGCAATCAAGGCTCAATAGAAGCAGAATGACAGAAACATAAAGGGATTTGTAACCCTTTGCTCTTGCACAGCTGGTTGAGTCTGTAAGGCTGGGAGGTCTGTGTGTCTGACACCAGCACAATGGTCTAGTGACACTGACATCCTTCAAGACTACCACCAAGGGTGCCTGGGAATGGATCAGGGTGGAAGTCCTATTTGTGACAGGGATTTTTAAAAAATAAGGTATAAAATCTAAGTTACAAAGATTCACAGAAAAACAATAAAACACAAGCTGGGTATTACTACTAAGTGATTTGAATGAATATTTTCTCAATCCTCCCAAGGACAGTACATAGCTAACATAAACCTGAGAGCATTATAGGTTAATTGATTCTGCATAAGGTATGGTGTACAGATTTAGTGCTTACTTCTCTCAGGAACCCGTGCAAGCGGGTACACCATACAGGGCTGCTAGATCTCTACCTGGGACCGCCAGAGATAAAAGTGCAGATACCTAGGAGGGAGAATTAGACTGTGAATCCTGATCTCCTGAATTGATTAAAGTCTGACTCTCCTCAGCCTCCCTGGCCCACAAGGAGAATGTAAGTGAAATTCAATGCAGGCAATCTGAAGTCTCTTTCCTTATAAATCTATACATGCTTTAAGAAAGATATTTTATTATTTTTAGGAAAAGATCCACAATTATCTTGAAGGTAAAAACCATATCCAGAAACATGTAGTAGTTTTGGGAACAAGGGGACATCTTATTGGCATATGGTCACGTCACGGGGAAGCCAAGGCAGTGTAGGCCTGGAGCCCACGGCAAACCCATCTCATCTGCCACGACCAGGGGCCTGGCTGCTCTGCCCCAGCCTGCGCCGCCTGCACCTGAAACTGGGTCCATTGTAAAGAAAACGTCCACTGTCTGCCACGCACTTTGTGACTGTGGCTTAGAGGTAGGCACAGAGCCGCTCCAGCTGTGTGGGGTTGGCATCACTTAGGAACAGTAGCTCTTTCTTCCCTTCTTCTGTAGGTGCTAATAAGGAGACAAGCACACGTTAGGTGGCAATTTCTGCTGGCTGCATTGTGCCTCCTAGGAAACGCTGTGGTCAGATGCTACTTCAGCTACATTACTTTCCACAGAAATCTCTCCAATGTCTCATTTTCTGTGCTTCCCTAACCACCATGCTGCAGCTACTTTGATTCTTCCACTTCTGATAACCAGTTCCTGTTACTATGAGCCTTCTATTACCTAGTGATAGAACCCTGTACTTTTCTTCTACCTCTCCTCCCACATCCAGAGATGAGGTAGATATAAATGGACACATAGAATGCTTTTAGTTGGAGTAGATCAAATCTAGTACAGAGGGTTAACTTTTTTTTTTAATTTTGAGACAAGGTCTTGCTGTATAGTTCTGGCTGGCCTTGTACTCACTATGTAGCCCAGGCTGGGCTCAAAGTCATGGCGATCCTCCTGCCTCAGCCTCCTGTGTGCTGGGATTATAGAAGTGTGCCACCATGCCTGGTTAGGACCCATTTCTTAGTATTAGTTAACATTTCCTATTATATACATTAGGACAGGTATGGCAAGGAGTTTGGTGCCAGCATAGTCTCTCATACAGAATGTGTCTGTGGGTGTCTGAGTGCATCAGTCTCTCAAATGAAGTTTGTTCAATAAATGCAACAGTAAAGGTTGGGGATGGTGATACGGGCTTGTAATCCCAGCATTCTGGGAAGCTGAGGCAGGAGGATCACACGTTAGAGGCCTACCTCATCCATTTAGTGACTTAGCCAGACGCTGCCACAAAATAAAAAATAAAAGGCCAGGCATGGTGGCATGTGCTTGTAATCCCAATACTCAGGAGGCTGAGGCAGCAAGATCCCCATGAGTCTGAGGGCAGCCTGGGCTACATATGGAGACCCTATCTCAACAAAACAAAACAAAATAAAACAAAACAAAAAGCACTAAGTGGTAGTCCATTTGCCTACCATGTGTGAGGCCTTGAGTTCAATCTCCAGCAACCCAAACACGTAGCAACTGCCTGTGGCTTGATATGACGTTGCTGTTTTGTAGCATAAACATTTTATTTTGGACAAGATGAATATTTGGGGAGAGACAGAATTTCGTTTGTAAACTACCTTTCTATACCATCTTACCAGCTCGGGAAGTCAAGATAAACCGAGATTACAGGCTTCTGAGGGAGGAGGGGGGAGGGCTCAGGTCACCGGGATCCTACTGCGACCCCAAAGCCCTGACAGGAGTGAGCGGACAACTGACCTTTCTCATGTTGAAGCCAATTGTTCTCTAAATAATAATGAATGCAGCTTTCAAACTCCTTTAGGTTGTAGTTAGAAACCAGGATAGGAAGAAAGGGATCCAGGGCATCAAATCCTTCCTGGAGAAGACACAGGATGAGAATGCAGTGTTAGTTGCGTGACCGATCAGCAGAGGGAAAAATTCTCGTGCCCGGTTCCTTCATCTTCCTTAACCTCTCTCTCTTGAAGGTGCTCTGCACCGCCAAATATTACACTTTAAAGAGAAAGGGGAGAGCTACTTGTCTGATGGAGTATTTTTTTTTTTTTTGGCAATTCTGACTTTTGGAACCAGATTATATTTCATGTACTTAAAACCAGAAAATAAAATCAAGAAGAATGGGGAAGAGGACCCTAAATGGAACATACGCTAAAATAATGCATCAATCAAACTCTTGAAATAACTATAACATTGAAGGGGAGGAGGAATTAAACCAAGTAACTTCTGAACCCAGTGTCTGGACTATTGCTCTTTTGGCTTAAGACAGAAACTAAATACTGAATTCTTAATTTTCAGAGTTGAGAGTTGGCAAATGTGAAACTATTTCTAACCACATTCTAGGACCGAAGTCTTAGAATATATTGTTGCCAATGAGAACAGATTTCTTACTCTTAGAAAGCTGGAAGGGGGCCAAGCGTGGTGGCACGCCTGTAACCCCAGCACTCGGGAAGCTGAGGCAGGACATCATTGCAAGCTTGAGACCAGCCTGGGCTACGAAGTGAGCTCAAGGCCAGCCTGAACTCACAGTGAGACCCTGTCTCAAAAAGACCAAGAGAAAAAGAAAAGAAAAAAGAAAAAAGAAAAAAAGAAAGATGGAAGGGTATAATTCAGGTGGTGATACTAGCATGGAAATGGCATGTGCCAGTATGAACTCTTAAGTTTGTAATTAATAATATTCATGTTAACTAATAATTAGTATCTAATTAATATCCTTGCCTCACCTGTCATCATTATGCTCTTGCTCAGTGGCTACTTCTGTAAGGCAGGTGAGGCAGGGATAGGCTGCTGGAGCTAGTCTTTATGTTCTCTAGTTTTCAAGGCTGATTATTTTCCAGCTAGGTGTTATTTTCAGGGAAACACATTAATTATACAAGGAAAATAATTACTGAAGAGATGCACATGGACACCACCGCCCTGAATGTTCAAAATGAACATCACGGGTAAAGCGAGTCGTAAACTTCCTGTTCCCCTGATGTGGTGTGCTGAGAAGGAGGAAACACCACAGAGGCACGGAAAATAAGCTACTAAATACCTGACACATATAGTACTTTTCAAAACCGTAAAACCTAAGATAATAAAAGGCAAAAAGGTGGAGGAATTACCAGATTAAACAGACATGACAACCAAATTACCAAATTACCAAATTACCGAGGATTTTCTTTTTCTGTATTGGGATACTGGGTTACCTGGCAAAATCAAAAGCTTACAGATTAAAGTATTATACGGATGTCAATTCTCTGATTTGGTAATTATGCTCTGGATATACAGTTAGAATCTTCCTTCCTTCCTTCCTTCCTTCCTTCCTTCCTTCCTTCCTTCCTTCCTTCCTTTCTTCCTTCCTTTCTATTTTAAAGAAAGAGACATTTAGGGCCAGGTGTGTGGTGGCATATGCCTGTAATCCCAGCACTTGGGAGGCTGAGGCAGGAGGATCACTCCTGCAAGTTCAAGGCCAGCCTCAACTACTCAGCAAGACCCTGTCTCAAAAAAAAAAAAAAAAGTGTAGAAAAGAGGAAAAAGAAATATGATAAAGTTAACACTTTTGGAATCTGGGTGAAGGGAACAGAAGATCATGATTTTCCTCTAAATCTGAAATTGTATCAAAATAAATAGATTCATAAAGCAACATTTCTTTAGACAGAATGAATATCCAAGGGGAAAAAAATTTCTCTATGACTTGACCTTGCCCAGTAGCTCATGGGGCAGATAGGCTTTTGAGGGCTTAAAGAGAGACCCCGTCTGGCTCAAAGTTAACACAGTGGCACCTCCATGCTGCAAGAAAGGAAATAAGGCATGATTAGAAAAAGCTCAAATAGACAGTATCAATTTATCATATGTATTTTTGGATTTCAATTTCAACTAAAATAAAAGGCCAGACAGGCATGGTGGTCTGTGCCTGTAATCCCAGCATGGTGGGAGGCTGAGGCAGGAGGAGTACAAGCTCAAACTGGCCCAGGGAATTTAGCAGGACACTGTCTCTAAAAGGGCCAGGGATCTGAGGACACAGCTCAGTACAAAGGCTATGACAGTTCAATCCCCAGTGCCGTGTGTGTCTCTCTCTCCTGTCTCTCCTGTCTCCCTCCCTCTCCCTCTCTCCCTCTCTCTCCCTCTCTCTCTCTCTCTCTCTCTCTCTCTCTCTCACACACACACACACACACACACCTCATTATTTAAAAAGTTCTGAATAAGCTTACCCCAGTCAAATTGAAAGATTAGAAACTACATAAATTTTAGTCTAGACCTTACTCATAATTTGGTAGTTATAGGAATTAAATAAAAGAATATTCTGGCCTTAAAATCAAGAGACTGCAAAGTGAAATAGAGCTAAAACAAAAAGACACGTATTCCTGAAATATGCTAAGCATTGTGCTCTTACCCAATCATTCCTCATCATCTTCCTCAGGTTATAAATAAGTGCTAGCTCTTCTGGTGCAATCTGTAAGTTGTCAACACGAGAGAGGAGAGATCACTACCTGTTTTCCAGGAATCAACCATGAGACAACTGAACTGACAACAACAGCCCTCAACTCCTACCCTGTCGCAGTACCCAAGTGTACACCTGTGGGATCACCTACAGCTGCTGGCCCAAGAACTGCCGGCTGCCAAGAGAGAAGGCACCTAGAGCCCCGAACCCACTCCCTCCCTTAATGCTTCCCGTCTTCTCCGTGGAGACCACATAGCCTCACTTTGAAAAAATAAAAGAGAGAAAAAGTTAGGCAAGAAAACAGCTGCTGTCTGCTGTCCTCCTTTCCGAGACGTTGTCACTTAGTTTCCAATGCACAGTGGAGCCCTGGCCATCACTGTCTCCTCCTGATGCTGTTTTCCCTGTACGCACTAACGCCCCGGCAGGAACGTACTTTGCACGGTCCATACAGCCAAGTCTTGGCCTCTTACACAATGCAACCAGAAATCAGGGAAACCAGCAGAGAGAAAGGCAGTCCTCCTACCGGACTTTTATCTTCTCTTTTCAGTGTGGTCCTTCCCCAGAGAGCATTGACACCATCCACAGCCACCAGGAGGTGAAACAGCCCCGAAGAGCTTTGCCGCTTGAGCTCCTTCAGGACAATCCCAACTGCGTCTGTGGCATTCTTTATCCGGGTGATGCCCTGTGAGGGAGACAGCGGCTCAGAGCGCTTCTGGAGGCCTCCTCAGGCTATGATGCCTGCACAGTTGGTGCCTTTTCCTGTACCTGTTCCACCACTTCTCCCAGAGGACTGCCTTTCTCAGTGCTTTCTCTCTTACTCCAGACATATTTCTCTTGAACTTTTATCTAGAAACAAACAAAATAAAAACTAAAAATAGCCAAACCCATTCCTAGATGAGAGGATGAAGGCTAAGGTTAACAGGAATCAGTTTAAATCTGTTTCACAGATCTTGTAAGAGATTTCATATAAACCAGACGTGGTGACACATGCCGATAATCCAAGCACTCTGGAAAGGTGAGGCAAGAGGATCACAAGTTCAAAACTAGCCTGGGAAATTTAGAGGCCCTGTCTCAGAAAAATACAAAAGGGCTGTGGATGTAGCTCAGTGAGAAAGCCCTGGGTTCAATCCCCAGTACTGAAAAAAAAGGGGAGGAAACAAAACACAACTAAAAACAGAGAAGGAGGGAGAGAGGGAGGGAAGGAGAGAGAGACAGAGAGACCAATATACAAGTTTTTAGCCCACCTCTGCTGGAAACTTTGAAAGAAAAGATAATACACAAGGGACTCTGACTATAAAGGTCCAGAAGGAGATGCTGGCAGCTGCATTTTATTTTATTTCATTTTATTTATTTATTTAGTCTTTTTGAGACAGGGTCTTGCTATGCAGCCCAGGCTGGCCTCAAACTCACAACGATCCTCCTGCCTCAGCCTCCCAAGTGCTCGGATTATAGGTGTGTGCCACCACGCCCGGCTGCATTTTATTTTAATTTATTTGTTAGTTCAAGGGGCTGCACCCAGAGCCTCACACATGCCAGACAAGTATTGTACCTCTGAGCAACTACCCCAGCCCTTATTTTTTTTAATTTTTAATTTTTATTTTTTTTCCCAGCCCTTATTTTTGACCCAGGTTCTGGCTAAGTGGCCCGGACTGGCTTTGCACTTGGTTCCCTCTGACGAAGCCTCTTAATCGTCAGGATACATGCATGCACTACTATTCCCATCTTTTTCCACTGCACTTTTAATAAGCTCCTAGTCCAGGGTGGAGAACTTATGGCATGTGTACTGCAGCCGGCTGCTGGTTATCAAGCTCTACAAGGTTAGCCATCACTGTCTTAGTCTTTACACCCAAGTCAAAAAGTTCTAGAGGTCACACCCAAGAAACTAGAGGAAAAAAGTTTTACTAACACATTTCTGGTTCCCAAAAAGGTCCGAGAAAAATTACATATATACTTGAGGCTGTACCTTGGAAAAGTCTGTGAATCAACCTGAATTTTGTTATTTAAATAGGAAGTTTACTCTCGCCTTTTTATTTTACATAGAGGGATGAGTTTCGAATTGTGAGCCCACTGTAAGCAAAATATATGAAAGGCACACAAGTGTTATTATATGTATCCCCAAATACACAGCAATTCTGCATTGTCTCCGAAGTACTTGAGGCACAAAGAAGGTACAATTGTGTATAAAGAAGCCTGGCATCAAACTTCCAGGAGTTTAGTCACCTGGCTCAGGAAGCATTCATTTGTAGTTTTGAAATTCTTCAGCCAGGTTGAAGCCTCTAAAGGTTGATCAAAGCGTTGTTTGTTGTAGGTAGACTGCAGAAGTTCCCGACAATTTTTCACCCAAAGATGAGCTAAAAAAACACACACACACACATACACAAAACCAAACTGGGCAGGAACTGACTATGCTTAATTAAAATAACTGTATGCACCTTTAAGTTACAGGAAACATATATACTTTATTTACGTCATGTATTCTAGGCAAGGGTCTACCACTGAGCTACATTCCCAGTCCTCCAAATATATTTATTCCAGCCTTCCAGCTTTGGGAGATTTTTTGTCTGATCTATCTTACATTAAACACTATCATTACAAATCAGTGCCTAAGGGCGGGGTGTGGGAGCACAGGCCAGTAATCCTAGCACTTGGGAAACTGAGCCAGGAGGACTGCTTCCAGTTCAAGGCCAGTCTGAACTACATAATGAGACTGTGTCTCAAAATTCAATGTGTAAGACACACCAAGTAGATTAAATATCACTTCTGCCTGACAGGTTTTAAAGCTGCATGAGAAAATGTGGATGCCCACAACAGTGAACAAAAAAGAGATGTATGCCAAGTGTGAAGGTTTAAGTTTATACTATTCAAGCTGAAAACTTTTTTTTTGGTCTTTTTGAGACAGGGTCTCACTGTGCAGTTCAGGATGGTCTTGAGCTCACTTTGCAGCCCAGGCTGGTCTTGAACTCGCAATGATCCTCCTGCCTCAGCCTCCCAAGTGCTGGGATTACAGGCGTGTACCACCATGCCCAGTTTCAACCTGAAAACTCTAAAATGCTGATAAACAAAACGCTTTATGGGTTCTCAAAATCACAACCGACAGCAACATGAAAAATGAAAGTGATGCAAGGCTGTAGTCCCAGCTACTTGGTTTTTTGTTTGTTTTGTGTCTTTTTGAGACAGGGTCTTGCTGTGTAGTTCAGGCTGGCATTGAGCTCACTTTGTAGCCCCCGCTGGTCTCAAACTTGCAGTGATCCTCTTGCCTCAGCCTCCAAGTACGGGGATTACAGGTGTGCGCCACCACACCTGGCATTAGTCTCAAGTACTTGGGAGATGAGGGATGAGGGCTGCTTAAGCCTGGGTGTTCAAGACCAAACTGGGCAATACAACAAGACCCATCCTTGATTTTTTGGGGGTGGGGTTGGTTGAGACAGGGTCTTGAAGTTGAACTCATGGCGACCTTCTTGCCTCAGCCTCCTGAGTGCTGGGATTATAGGCATGGGCCACCATGCCCAGCCAGGTCCCGTCTCTTAAAACAAAGCAAAACCAGAATCGGGTGGTGACCTCTAAGGCGGGACTCTGTATTCTTGGGCAATAAAGATCAAAGTAATAACTTAGTATCAAAAAGCTTCAGGAAGCTTTTAGCTGAATTTCCCGTTGTCATATGCACTTCATCTTGCAAGATGCTTGACACTAACATAAAAGAAGTCTTGATGAACCAGCTCAAGACTACTTGGCCACTGGAGCAGAGGCTCTCCATTTAGTTAGATGAGCCTGGTTAGAAAATAAAAAGTCACAGTGCTGCCTTGGTAACAGAACTAGCCTGACACACAGAAGAAAGGAAGTTCTTACCATCTGGAATATGCAAGATTAGCCAGCCGTGTTTTGCGCAGAAATGAATAACATGGCAAAGACTGAGGGTTTTTCCTGTTCCCCTCTCTCCGTCTAGTGTACTTGTTAAAGAAAACACTACCAGACAGAAGACTTCCGTCAGTGTACACTTGCATTTGTTCTTCTCACTCATGAGAGGAGGAAACACTAGCCAAAGGTGTCCCAGGCAGCCAGGAAAGGATACAGAGAACATACCGTACAGCTGGGTGAGCAAAATTGGTGTTTTTCAGATAATGCAGAAGCTCTAGGGCTGGTTTCCTCACCATCAGGCAAGCTTCACCAAATGTCTTCACCTAAGAAAATGGAGAGGCAGGATGTGGGGCGGGGACTGCTAACACTGTTGGTATTCACACTAAGGCAAGGGGAACAACCAAGAGCACAGAATTGTGTGTTTTTAATTTATTCAGTGACGAAAGGCTGAGCTGCTATTTAATCTGAAAATCAACTCATATAATTTAGCTAAAACACATTACTCTGGACATAATGACCCAATAGTCAGCTTTTAATTATTCTTATTACTGAAACATATTCTATCAGTTAACTGGAATCTATAAATAATTCAGATATAACTATATATACATCATGTAGAATCAAGATAAATCTTAAAAAGATGTAAAATGTTTAACACAGCATTTGATACACAGTAAGGACTCAATGAACATTAATTATTTTGAATTTATGGTTAGTTGATTCTTATTACTATAACCATCTACCTTTGTTTCTAGAATTATGTACATGGCAGCTCAGGAGGTACGATCAGCTGCCTCACAATTACGAGGCCATACCTCCCACCCCCCACATATAATGATATATCAGTTCATGTGTTTATTCCTTTTGCCACCAGAGTACTCTGCTAGAAAAATGTGGCAAGCACTGATTATATATATATAAAAGTGATTAGCAAATCAGGTATTTAATTCTACTACTAATAAATATCTAACAAATACTATTTATAAGCATTAACAGATGAAGTTGGAAAAAAATTTCTTTTTGGTGCTGGTAAGTGAACCTAGGGCTGGCCTCCTGCTTGCTAAACATGTGCTCTACCACTGAGCTACAGGCCCTGCCCCAGTGCTGGTATTTGAAAGAAATCTCCCTGTAAGAGTAACTGGATGGTATAGGAGCTGACAGGTAAGTCATTGTGCCTGGTTAACAGAATCATTTCTACCAGCAAGTGGCTGGGTATGGGGTATACCCCTGTAGTCCTGGTTACTTGGGAGGCTGCACTGGAATGATCACTTAAGTCTAGGAGTTTGAGACCAGCCTGGGCAACAAAATGAGAGCCATTCTTCCAACCCCCAGGTCAGAAAAAAAAAATCAGCAGGAGCTAGTCAGAACAATTATGTCAATACTATAAACTATTCTTGCAGTTAATCACAAATTTTCCCAGTGGCTATAAAATAATCCAGGGCCAGGGATACAGCTCAGTGGCACAAGTGCCTGCCTGGCAAGCACAAGGTCCTGAGTTCAATTCCCAGTACAAAAAAAAATGCAAGGCCAACTTCCCATTTAATTTTTTTCCTTCAGTTCTAGGGATTGTACCTATAGCCTTGCGTGTGCCAGGCAAGCACTCTACCAGTAAAGCTACCAGCCCTGCTCCCAAGGTTGTGCTCTGGGTTGTAGTTAAGGCCACAAAATGACATTTTCTGAAATTCCATGAGAACGAGGAATAAAGATGAACTTAATCAAAATATCATTCCTATGTATACATTCATTCATGTATTTATTTGAGACAGATTGTAGGCTGTCCTTGAGCTCACTATATAACCCAAGCTGGCCTCAAACTTGAGGTGATCTTCCTGCTTTAGCCTCCCGAGTACTGAGATTATAGGTGCCCATCACCAGACCCAGCTTTCATTTCTCTTTAGACCGGGAACATCAGGATTTTTTTGGGGGGGTGCATGTTCCGCATATTAACTATTATTTATTTTGTAATGGTAAATGCTAATTCATTCAAAGTAATTATTTGAAGGGCTGGGGATATAGCTCAGCAGCACAAGTGCCTGCCTGGCAAGCACAAGGTCCTGAGTTTGACTTCCAGTACAAACAAAAAAAGTAGAACAACTCAGTCAAAATAATTATTGAATGCCAAAGTTTCTAGAGACTTGTTGGCTAACACAAGGAAAAATATATACCTATATTGTTTATATAAGAACATTTACCAGGCTCCAAAAAGGATTTAAGTAGTTAGAAGATAACATTAGCTCAAAAATAAAGCAAGTGTACTATTCACAAAAGATAACAGCTGAATTTCTGGTTTTTGGATTCAGATGTTAATTTTAGAGGTGGTGGTCATGAGCTTGTGTTCTGGGCTCCCCCGGTTCTCCCCGGTGGAGCACCTGCATTACAAAGCGAGGAGGCAGGCCGTGCGGAAACACAGTCTTCAGCTCCTGGAAGGGGATGCTGTAGTGCCGACCCTCATGCTGCTCCCCGTGCTGGGCCTGGAAGACAATGTACACAGGTAGAACGAGACAAAGTGGTAAGGATTCCAGGAGAGAATGGGGTTTGCGGACACACTCATTTAGCTTAGCCAAAAAGGTTGGTTGCCAGCTTCAGCTTCTGAGTAGATACTGTACTAGAAAGGTGGTGACCTGATTGACAAAGCCAGTTGTTGAGCAGAGTAAACCCTAGATGCAGGAGCAACAGAGATAGTCCTTGCCATTTGGATTTTTCTGTGCTGTGAAAAGATGCTCTGGTCATGTGACACGATAATCTACACGCTGCTGTTTCCATAGAAACCCCAAAGGAGTTGGTAGATAAAGGGACTACAATTACAGAGGAAGCTGGAAAACACTAGTAATTTCATTCATTTATTGTATTTCATTTTATGCTTGTGAAAATAGGTGAATGATAGAGATATTTAAAACATATATGCTAACATGTTGGGGAGGTAGTGTGTCTTTTTTTGTTTTCATATAGCTATTTTAAATTTTTATTGTTTAGTTTTTTGGAAACATGGTCTTATTACGTAGTTCAGGCTGACCTTGAACTCATTACGCCCAGCCCAGCTTTGGCACAGCAACCCTCCTGGCCTCAGCCTCCAAAGTGATGGGATTATAGGCCTGGGCCATCATGTCCCACTTCACATCGCCACACTGAAGATGGGCAGACTCGGAGGGGAGGGGCAGGGACAAAGATGCTGGTGGGTTCCTTCACATTATAACGCAGAATATACAACTAAATTTTATTCATGAGAGGCAGCAGCACGATGGGGAAGGAGAAAGGACGACAATGTCCGTTACAGTTACAAAATGAAGCACTGCACGCTACTGGAATCTTGGCTTCTGCTGTCAAATTTCACTCTAGATACTACTTTTTTCAAAACAAATCAATTTAGCATCTTGTCACTTTCCAGACACTAGGAAATCCCTTTACCAAGGTGGGAAATAATACCAGTTTGGTTTTTATGAAAAGTGACCTGCCCTGTTGTGTGATTTTGGGGCAAGTATGTACTTTGGTTTCTTTTGGATTCTCCATACCAGGGTTTGGTAAGCTAAGGCTGTCATTTCTTTTTATGCTGTCAAGTGTAGGGCATCAAACCCAGGGCCTTACACATGCTACGCAAGTGTTCTACTACTGACCTACAACCTCAAAGCCCTGTTACTTGTTTTACAAATAAATATTTATTGGAACACAGCCATACATATTTGCTAATGGGAGAGGTGAATAACTATGACAGAGACTGTTATAACCTGTAAATCTAAAATATTTACTTTCTAGTCCTCTAAGAAAAAGTACAATAAGATCAATGTAAGTGTTAAGTTTACCTTGCAAGGAATTTTTCTTTTCTTTTTCTTTTTTTGTCTTGCCATTTAGTTCAGGCTGACCTTGAACTCACCACGTAGCCCAGGCTGGTTTTGAACTCAGTGCTCTTCCTGCCTCAGCCTCCCAAATGCTGAATTACAGGCATGCGCTACTACGCCTGGCTCCTTGTAAGGAATTAAACTTGTAAGTTTTTACTATGCCCCTACTCTATATTCAGCAAGACCCTTGGGCCTAGGTGAGTCCACTGGTAGGGATTAAAATCAGAGGCACGGTGGACTGAATAGACTGCTTTCTGTTATGGCTGTGTTGGCCAGGTTTTCAGAGCATTACCTTAGTGCACTGTCTGATTCTATGTAAACCTGCTTAGCTTCTTTAAACTGTACTTTTCCTGATGCAAACAAAGAAGATACAACACCAATTATAATCCTGAGAAACCTCATACACACATCAGCAACTCACCGGGTCACTTTCACTGGTACGGGAAATAGTTCTGGGCCTCTCAACTTGAACCTGGTTATCCGGGTGAGCAGCAATGCTTTGGGGTCCCTGGGATCCCACGTGCAAAAAACACCGAGGGTCCAACTGGAAAAGAAACCAGTGTAGTGCTGTGGAATTACCAGATTTTATGTTTGCTACAACACTAAAGATGCAAGCCATATCTACAACAAGGAAAATGTCACTAATGTGTTTTAAGTATATGGAAAAAGTATCCTTATCATTATTTATAATTCGCTACATCCATTCATCTCACTCGTCCTCTCACTCTGCTCTAGCCTATATACTGCCCTATTAGGACTCTGTCCCACATGGAAATAACTCTGTTAGATTGTTCAGGAACATAGCACAGCCATTACAACTTAAAGCAGAAAATTGGTTTTTTCTTCTTCAGATGGGGTTTTACTGTGTTGCCCAGTCTACCTTCAAACTCCTGGATTCGAGCCATTCTTCCTTTTCAGCCTCACAAGTATCATCGTGGTCGTGGTCGTGGTCGTGGTCGTGGTCGTCGTCATCATCATCATCATCTTTTGTTTGTGGAGACTGAACCCAGGGCCTTTGCATCATCATCATCATCATCATCTTTTGTTTGTGGAGACTGAACCCAGGGCCTTTGCACTGAGCTACAGCCTCGTTTTTATTTTGAGACAAGTTAACACTAAATTGCTCAGGTTGAGGTTGAACTTTCTATCCTCCTGCCTCAGCCTTGCAAAACACGGGGATTATAGGTGTGTGCCACCACGCCTCACTAGGATATTTCTTTAAATGCACTTGCTCACTGTGATGCATGGTTGCCGTACAGAGCGATTCTCAGCAATCTAGTAATCAGTCACCCTACTCAGAGGCTAGTGCAGTGTTCTCTATTTGAAATCTAGGGCTGTACCCCTTCTAACCATCTTCTTGCAAGCCACACCCTGGAATGGAGACTCTTTCATGAGATGTGACAAAGGGGTATGTGAAGCATCCGGCCAGGTGAAAGAAACTGTTCTTCAGGGAGCTCAGTGAACTGCACACCAAAACTCCCAATCCAGGGCAAAGGGAAAGGATGAGAATTCAGGAGACAAATCCGAGAAAATGCTAAGTAGAGAATCCCCAAAATTAGGTTTAAGAACTACAATTTTTATGTAGAAGTGAAAAATATGCCAGTTGTGAGGAAAAGATAAGGTATGAATCCAGGAGCAGAAGCACAGGGCTGGGAGAGACGGGTATAACCTGAGAACTGCTTCACAGATCCATAGGGAATGACAGAAATGCCACCTGTATTTATAGTGAGCCTCACCATGTAACTTTGTGGGTTTTGTTTGAGACAAGATCTTGCTCTGCAGCGCAGCCTGGACTTGAACTCGTGATCCTCATTTCACCCTGCTGAGTGCTGTGATTATGTGTGTGCACCCCAACACCCAGCCCCGAGCAACTTGCAGAGTGCACAGAACGGACATTATTTCTGTACCACCTCTCCCAGCACTTATACCCCACTCCAACGCTGCACGTTTCCCCATGGAGACTTGCCACACACTTCTAGTCAAAGCACTTATCTTTCTTGCTAATAGCACTTTCTTCTCATTGGCCGGCAGTTGTACTCTGCCTGGAACTGCACTCACAGCCACTGTTCACTGAGCAGCCTTCTTAGTGCTGGGCAGTACAGTATTTTACATGTGTTATATTTGATCACAGAACCCTTGAAGATAGGTAGAATATTACTGTTCCTGTTTTCTGATAGGAAAAACAAGGTCCATGGAACTTAAAAATTTTTGACTAAAGGTCAGAATTGGAACTAGAATTCACATCCAACTTTGAGTCCTGAATCTTTTTTTTTTTTTTTTTTTTTTGTATGGGGAATTGAACTCAGGACCTTGTACTTGCCAAGCATGGCGCTGTGCCACTCAGCTATATCCCCGCCCCTGAATCTCTATTTTAAAAATTATATCATTTTATCTTATATATGTTTGTCACCCATTCTAGGTCACACACTTGGAAGAAAAGGAGTCAGATTTTATTCATGTTTGTATCTGCTTTTCCACGTATCTAATGTAACACAGTTTTCTCCCCCAGTACTGGGTTCTGATGCCAGAGCCTTCACACTGAGCCACATCCCCTGTGCCCCTGATCGCCTTTACATGTTTTCAGACAGGGCCTTGCTCAGTCGCCACATTACCCAGGCTGGCCTTGAACTTTTGATCCCTTTGCCCCTCAGTTCCCCATCCACCGAGTGCAGGGACTGCAGGCGTGGGCATTGTGCCCAACTCACACTACAAATATTAAGTACAGGTGTCTGAGAACCATCTTTGCTCAGGTGGCTGTGCTGGCCTAAGCCTATAATCCCAGCTGCTCAGGAGGCTAGGCAGTACTGCAAGTTAGAGCCTGTCTGAAAATAACTCAAAGGAGGGGGCTGTTGGATGGGGATGTGGGTCAGCGGTAAAGTGCTTGCCTGTCCTCCAAAAAATGAATCTTTCCTTGAAGACTTGTAATAAAGGACAGTAGAGAGCATCTAGGTAAAGGAAAGTAAACTACTTCATAGGCGTTTTACTAAACTACACATGGAAACCTCTGAATCCTAACTTTAGATTTCAATATTAAGTAACAGTGGAAAGTAACAGGGCCCTCCAACTTTGAGAAAGGAGGACTGTAAATTAAGGATACAGTCGAGAAAACAATGTTCACCAAATACTCCTCTATACATCTCAGCCTCCCATGATAGGCAGCAATCCTGTGATTACTTCTGGTTCAACAGCTCTGAGTGGAAGTTACTGTCATTTCTAGTCAAAATCATTTCAGAGTGGATATAAATTCTTTCCTCTTCTCCAAAGCTACCTGGTGCATCTGTAGTCCCAGCTACAGGGGGGCTGAGGCAAGAGGATTCCAGGCCAGCCTGGGCAATACAGTAAGATGCTGTCTCAAAAAAAAAGCTACATGTTGGGATGGTATCCCAAGAACCCGTGTTCCTAATCTTGCCTACAAGATAATTACTTTCCAAAATGTAGGGACAGCAAAAGTGATAGATATAACACAAACAAGAATTAAGGACTTCCTACTTCAGCAAAGCAACCTGAATATACCTTCATACTAACATTATTTGGTTTTATCTACAGGGCAGAAAGCATGTCTCTTTATGAAGTAGAAAACAAAATATTTAAGGGCCACATGGTGGTGCTATTTTACAGTACTCTGAGGACTTTTTTAGATACACTTTGTGCAGGAAATTAAAAGCTAGCAAAATGGATTCCTTCTGAGTGTGTTACAAATGGCATCACCAGCGAGGCTCCCTTCTAGGAAAAACCACCATATGCACAAGTGCTTCTGTGTAGTTCCAGAATGAACACATGCAGTTCCTGAACGAACAGCATTCACGGGCCAGTCTAGAAAGTCTGGCCCAACCAAACTAGAAACACCCACAAACACCTTCTTTCGAGCCTGGCTTTATCTGGCCTCAGGTGTTTCTTGTCTGGTATCAAGGAAGACATGTTCACCTTCTTTTTCTTTTTTTTTTTTTTTTTGGTTTTTCTCCGGTACCGGGAACCGAACTCACGACCTTGCACTTGCCAGGCAGGTGCTTTGCCGCTGAGCTAAATCCCCAGCCCCCATGTTCACCTTCTAATATGATCAGTTGCGGCTAGAATCTCCTTCTCTCTTGATCTTTGCTTTTATTTCATTCTATCATAATGGGTTATTTTATGTCTATATGTTTCTCATAAATCACAGGGTAGGAAGGGGGTAGGAAAAAATGAAAAATAAAAAAACCCTTACAGGAGGAAAGGCTGTTTTCCTAGGAACTTGAATCTGTAACTGTATGATCTGATGAGAGTGGCTAGGCCCTTCTGACTCAGTTCTCCTCCTCAGAATTTAGCTTACAAAATGAAATGTCCCTAAAATAGTAACCATAATAGTGAAATGAGTCGTCTTAAAATTATGAGTACCTGCCAAGTGTGAAGGTGCACACCTGTAATTCCAGCACTCTGGGAGAGTGAGGCAGCAGGATCACAAGTTTGAGCCTAGCCTAAGCAGTTTAGCAAGACTCTCTGAAAATTAAAAAAAATAAAAAAACAGCCAAGTGTGCACCTCATTGTGAAGGACCTGGGTTCAATTGCCTGTACTAAGAATAAATAAATAAATAAATAAATTCTCAGTACTTGCCACATAGAAGGCACTGAAAAACTACTTGGTAAAGAAATGAAAAGGCCAGGCAAGGTGGTACATGCCTGTAACCCCAGCACTCCAGAGGCTGAGGCAGGAGGATCATTCTGAGTTCAAGGCCAGCCTGGGCTACATAATGAGTTTAAAGTCAGCCTGAACTATAAAGAGAGACTGTAACTTAAAACAAAACAAAACAATTGGCAACTTGTTTTTCTTTTAAATACTTCATTAAGGAATGATAATCAGCAATAAGACATCAGAATCAAACTCAGGGCCTCGCGCTTGCCAGGCAGGCGCTGTGTTTTAAAAAAATATTAATTATCCTATCACACTGTGAATACTCATGCACAAGTATTTTAATGAGATTTCTTACTTGAAAATTTTTATTGCAACTGGGAATAAAATATATGGCTAGAGAATGCAGCTGTGACTGTTTTTTGTGTTACGTTTTTGGTGGTACTGTGGATTGAACCCAAGGCTTTTGCAGCAAGCTATACTCCTTGTACTTTTTATTTTGAGGCTGTCCTTGAACTTGCAATCCTCCTGCCTCAGCCTCCTGAGCTGCTGGGATTAAAGGCAGGCACCATTGTGCCCCCGCATAACTGTTTTTTTGAGTACATACTTGAAACTAAGTAGTAGTCAGATGGTGTTCTCCAGAGTATTTGACTGTGGTTATAATAACACTATCTAAAGCCAAGACATCTACCTAAAGGTAGTTTGCACAAAGTGTTCAGGTCTGGTAGCACTCACTCACCTTGTGAACTCTGGAGATAAGCCTTGTTACTCCTTTCAGCATTGTTCTGCACTCTGAATAAAAGTGAAAAGGTAAGTCATAACTGGGAAAAGGTAACACTGACACACAAAACTGACAATATTTAGAATATATAAAGCATGCCTATGAACTGATAAAAATGGGTGAAAGACATGAATAGGCATTTCACAGAAAAAGGAAGCAAATGACTAGTAAGTCCATGAAATTCTCAATCTTCAAATGTGAGAAAGTGAGATTTCTGGCAAATCCTGACTGGAAAGAGTTAAACCCCTGCTAGAGAGAGCAATTAGGAGAAGCAGAGAGAACTGATAAGCAGCCCTTGGTGCCAGGGCCCCAATTCCTCTCCACCTCTAGTGAAGTAGGAAGGAGACAAGGTGGGGAGAAGGCTGTGTCAGAGAGCTCATTTAGTATGTAAAAAACATACCACAACTGGATACTCACACAGCTACATATAAATACATACACGTTTAGTATTCTCTCATGTTAATGCACTAAATTGTACATGTATCCATTTACTAAATGCTAACTTGGCCCTGAATGTAAGGCTCTGCTATAAATCTCTGAGAAACCACCCTGATGAAACAAAAAACGCTAAAGGGGGCTTACCCAACAATCTGCACTTATGCAATAGACCCCCAGGGGTCTCAAAGCCTAAAATAAAATAGCCAATCACGTTATAACAACTCTCCAGGGGCAGAGTCCCTTTCTTGCCAGGTAATAAAAAGGGCTGAGAACAAAGCAGCTCTGGCTCTGGGCTCCCTGCTTACTCTCACAAGGCAGCTGTCCATCTCCTTACTTCTCTCTTCTTTCCAATAAGGTGAGTTCGTTTCTCCATTGAAACATGTATCTTAAACTTTTTATTAGTATCATGTTTACGAATCCCAGATGAGTAAATCCACCCTCACTGCAGGTGCGACACTAACAAACTGGGGAAATGCAAATTAAAACCGCGAGGAGGTGCCATTAGCAACCACTATTTGGGGAAAACAGAAAAGTCAGACAATAGCGAATGTTAAAGTGGTTATGGAGCACTGGGAAATTCATTCCACTCCCAACAGGAGTACAAATATAAATGTCTTGGAAAATAAACTTAGTGTTACCTTTGCAAAGATGAATATGTACACCTCTATTACCCAGCTATTCTAGTCTTTGGTAACTTATTTTACAAAAACATATGTACATTGGGATATATGAGGATGTTCATGTGGGTAGAGTATAAATGATAAAAAAACTGTAAAGATACAAATGTCGCTAGGTAAAAGAGCAGATAATTACAGACATAGTTATATAGTGGAACGCTATACAGCAATAAAAATGATACATCAACTCCCAAAATTAATACTGAGTGAAAACTATTACATCTATTACATGCTAAAATTATATAAATTTTGAATCATAAAACATTTTGGGGATACACACATTTAGTAAAACAAAGGTAAGAGAATGTTGAAGCAACATTTAGAATCATGAAGATTTTTTTTTTTAGAGACAGGGTCTCAATATGCCATTCAGGAAGGCCTTGAGCTCACTGTGTAGCCCAGCTGGTCACAATGATCCTTCTGCCTCAGCCTCCTGAGTGCTGGGATCACAGGCATGCGCCACCATGCCTGGCTCTACATTTAGAATAATGGTTACTCTTAGGGAGAAAGGAAAGGTTGGGGCAGGACACATAGGAAATGGTAATGAACCATCTGTAACGCTGGATAATGGATACATGAATTACTTTTATACCGTGTTATATTTATCCTTTTATATGTTGGAAATTGTTAATTTTTAAAAATCTAATCTTTTAAGAGCCCAAAGAAGTTTAGAATACTGTACTCCCTCCCTACCCATAGGGGACATAATATGTACCAATTCCAAACCATATGTATGTTTTTCCCTATATATACATACCTACAATAAACTTGAATTTATAAATTAGGCACAGTAAGAGATTAACAGCAACAACAGAAACAATAGGCCAATTACAACAATGTACTGTTGTAAGTTATGTGAACGTGGTCACTGTCTCTTAAAATATCTTACTGTAATACCGCATTTCTTTTTGTTTTTCCTAGTACTGTTATTGAACCCTGGACCACATGCATACTAGGCAAAGGCTCTACCACTAAGCCACAGTGACTTCTTTAAATTTTAAGAGAAGGTCTTGCCAAATTGCTCAGGCTGGCCTTGACTTACAGTTCTCCTGCATCAGCTTCCCACACAGCTGGGAGGCCTACACCCAGCTACTTTCATCTTTTCTGAACTGCTAAAAGCACTCTTTTTTTTTCTTCCTGTGTTGGGAATCAAACCCAGGGCCTTCTCAGTATAACACTCTTGCACTCTGGGACCATTGTAAGTAAAATAAGGGTCACTCGCATTGCAATAGAGTGACAGTGGACCTGATACTAGATGGATACTGACTGGTGGGCAGGTGGCATATGTAGTAGTATGGCACAGTGGATATGTTGGACAAAGGGATGACTCCAGTCCTAGGCAGCACAGAGTAGAATAGCACAAGATTTCACTGCACTATTCAGAATGGCATACAATTTAAAATTTGCAAATTGTTTATTTAATTTTTCATTTAAGATTTGTTTTTTTTGGTATTGGGAATTGAACTGACGACCTCATGCTTGCCAGGCAGGCTCTGTACGGCTGAGCTATATCCCCTGGCCCTCATTTAAGATTTTTGACCCACAGTTGACTCTGGGTAACAAACTGCAGAAAGCAAAATCATGGACAAGTAGAGACTAGTATACTTAAATAAAACTCTCAATATCTAATAGTGATAGAATAACTATAGTAAGACTCTAGGAACTCAATTATTTCATTTTGCCTCATCATTTTCCCCTTTCTTTTTTTGGTTTTGTGAGACAGGATTTCAGTAACGTAGGTCAGGGTGGCCTTGAATTCACTATGTAGCCCAGGCTGGGCTCCAACTTGACGTGATCTTCCTGCCTCAGCCTCTGGAGTGCTGGGATTGCAGGCAGGTGCCACCATGCCCGGTGCCCCATCTTTCTTAAAACCAAAATTATTAAAGCAATAACAGGGCTGGGGATATAGCTTAGCGGCACAAGCACCTGCCTGGCAAGTGCAAGGTCCTGATTTAGATTTCTGGTACCCCCCCCCAAAAAAGCAACAACAACAATGTTGCACCCATTTAACTCAAGTTTCTGTGTGCCAAGCCCTGTGAATGACAACGAGCAAGCTGTTACAGCCCCTGACCTGGGAGAAGTTCAAGAGAATCATACACTTTGAATTTCACCTCCTTTTGAGTTTTATGTTTACTTTTTGATAAAAATGGCAATGTATTCCTTAATTCAGTATTTCAAGAAATGTGTGATGGGGGGCTGGGGATTTAGCTGAGTGGCACAGCACCTGCCTGGCAAGGGCAAGGTCGTGAGTTCGATTCCCGGTACCGAAAAAAACCAAAAGAAAAAAAAAAAAAGAAATGTGTGATGTGCTTCCACAAGCTTATACCATACAGTAGCCAGTGGTGACCAGAACGGGTATGGTTGCTACTGGGCTGCCTTCCCCCTATCTGTGGGATTCCAGGCCTCTTTCTATATCTGAAAAATCAGAGGCTTAAAGTAGCAGTTCCCAGAATAAGCTTGGTAAATATTCACTAGTCATACAAAAAACACAAAAGTTTTGAAGTCAAATAATTTGAGAAATACAGGGAACCCTGTTGGTCTCTCATTGTACCCCGGAAAGAAATGGCGGTGGGTATGAGGAAAATAAAGACAAGAGACAAGAGCTGGGTCAAGTGGAGTTACATCTTACCTGATGGGCAAGAAGACTGACTTCAACAGTAGGGGCATTTATTTTATACCCTTGCAAAGTTAGTATCAGGAGAGGTAATGTTGCTTAGCGACTAATGACTATAATTGTCCAGGCAGGATGCTTTTTTCAATACTGAGGTAACTTGACTGTTTAAGGCACTCTGGTTCCCTTCAGTCCTTACACATAGTACCAGCTCCAGTGGCTCCCAACAGAGAGATCATGCAGTTCTTCACTTCTTGGTCATTCCAATACATATTAGTATATTAAAAGCTTGGGGGTGAACTATAATAGAATCCATTTTAAACTGTTTCCTAAACTTACCTGGCCTTGGCAGCCCTTTATTGCAAAGCAGTATTAATATCATTCTTCCTGATCACCATGCAGGCAGGGTCTGCTACTATATAGAGCAAGGTGGTGGCTTGTGGGTATGTGCGTGAGCCCAGTGACAAAGCTCTACTAGGCCACAAGCTGGTGAAGCCCATCTGCCTTGCTTGTTAACTATTGTTTTTTACTTCCCTTGTCTTATAATGCTCCCACTGCAGACTGCCACCCAATGCCCACTACCACCTGGTACCAAATATGACTATCAAAAAAGGGTTAGCATATTGGCCTGAGATTTTTCTCCTTAGCAAGGCCTGCTTGCAAGGTTGGCCCTTAGCTGGAGTGTGGGACCTTGGACTTCAGGAAGACTGCCATTATTCCTAGTCTGGTTAAGAGTAAGTGATTATACTGAACATCTGCTTTCCTGCTGGAACTTGAGAATTTTGGTACACGCTTAACAGATTATGCCTACATGACTGGTCCCCAATAAAAAAGGTAGGCCAAGAGTTTCTGGTAGGCTTCCTGATAAACAACATTTCACATGCGTTGCCACAACTTGTTACTAGGTGAACTGTGTCCTATGTGATCCCATTACGAAAGGACTTCTGGATGCTTGTGTGTGGTTTCTATCATCCCATGTCCTTTGTTGATTTTGTTTTGTATTCTTTTACTGGAATAAGTCATGGCTGTAAGTACAACTGTATGCTGGTTTCTGAATCCTCTTTACCAAATTATAGAACCCGGGAGTGGTTTTGGCAACCACCAGGACAACCAACTCAGTACCCAACACCACCCAACATCACCTCCACCTGGTGCTCAATACCACCTGACACTCACTACCACCCAATTCCTATCTTTTACCTACTTTTCTTTACTGCCTTGCTTAATCCTCCCCCATGTAAACTACCTCAACTTGTGCCGATAGCATTATCTCCCTAGATCTGTG